TTGATACTCCAGGTTTCATTCGCTGAAGACAAAATAAACACCTTTTTAGGATTAAATATTTCACTCGTCTTGGCTTGTATACAAATGTACAGTAAATTAAAAGGGAAGGGGAGGATGTCATATGACAATTGAAAAATTCATTCTCACTTTAGCGATAAATAAAGATTACAAAATATGTGTAGATGACTAAATTCTTATCGCATTCCAATTATTTATTACCGTTTTTAAACTTAGAATTGAAAATCCTTATTTATATACGCGATAAAATATCGTCAACTGATAAGTAAATATAAAGTGTTCCATTAAACAATTTACAATTAAGAAATGTGTGAATTGTATTTCATCGGTCTTAAACGATTTACTTATTGAGCATAAATTGTGGGACAATTTGTCCAAACAATAGCGAAAGTAATTGCGAGAATAACAATAAAACATGAAACGAATCGCTCATATCAACGATTACAATAGACGGGCCAAACTCGTGTTGAATTTTAATTATGGACGGTTCAAAAGCTTCCACTTTTACTTTTAATGATAAATGAATTGCAGCGGGATTCACGTAGGTAATAAAATGGCGCTTTGCCTGCTGGCACGCTACTGAATACCAATGAGGTATTGATTTCGGTTCAATTCGCAAATCCTGGAAAAAACGATTAATTTGTCTTTGACACCTGTTACTACAAATATATGATAAATACCGTTGTGGTATTTTCATAAAAAGTCCGTTATTTTTCATATTATTTCTTCTAATTCTAATTTTTCGTCTCCTATCTAACTATCTCTAACTCTTCCTTGCTTGCTGCTAATACTGCCATATCATTTGCAAATCTAAGCATACTAATCTTTTGCCCTTGTATATCTATCCCTACAGTTGTACTGTCTTTAATGATGTTGATCGCGTCTTCGATGTATAGATTAAAAAGTAGCGGTGATAGTGTGCATCCCTGTCTGACTCCCTTCCTAATATTTACTTCTCTACGTTGCAGCCCCAGCTCTATAACTGCCTGTTGCTATTTATACAAACTAAGTACCACTCTTCTGTGTTTGTAACTCATCCCTACATTTTTAAGAATATTTAACATCTTGTCCCATTTAACATTATCACATTAAAAGTCTACAAGATGAAAAACTCGTACTAATAAGTTATCGTTAATCGAAACCTGATATATACCAGAAAGCGACAAAAATTGTAACATTTCGATCATAATGATGTATTCTTGTTCATGACGAAAAGTAAAAACAAGAACTATATCGAAATAACAAATAATTTAATACAGTAATCAATAATCAATACATATTAGGACAAACGACCTATCCGACTACAATCTTAATTACTTATTTTCGTTAGGTAACTTTTGTATTATACTTATTGCATTATTATTGCTCGTGTTTGTTTTTCTTTTTTGTCTGGTATCCGGCACTACCGCGTACTCGGCGTCATTATCCGGTACCCGACCGGATCCTAAAAAAATGCCAAATCCGCCAAGTATTGTATATACCGGATCTAAAGCGAGTACCCGGTAAAAATCACTCGGCAAAAGATCTGGACTATACAGTGGATGGTCGAAAACATTCCACTTGAGCTGTTTGGGGACTGTTCATCATGTTGACACACTGCGGTCGTGTCTTGGATGAAAACTACGACCAACCCCCGGGTAGTTCAAACCTCACACCGAGTTGTTTTCACCTTTTTCGACAATTGAAGACCTGGTTAGGTAGATAATGCCTTGCCATCAACGTACAACAACGTAGAACAGTGTCAAGAAGTAGCTGGCTGACTCTTCTATCAAGAAGGAATTGGAAAGCTAGTGTTACGATATGACAAATGCCTGGCGATTATATAGGTAAACAAATACGAAACTACTCATAGCCTTCTATCGCTAGTAATGAAGTCATTTGGTTATGTATATACACGTGCCATCGGAAGTTAAAAAAAACGTCCTCGTATATTTATAAAAAATGGAAATACTGTTTCGTACATTTGTTTTCGTAATTAGTACATTTTCCCATCTGAACAAGAATTTTATTTTCAGCACGTGATTTCCTTTTACGGCCTCACTGAAACGCATTCCAAGCGTAAAATGTCTTCGTGTACAGTAATCGGTAATTACCAACTAATTAATATGTATCCAGCAAACACCTGTCTGCCATGAATTCAAAATGTTGATTTCTTTTTCTAAATTAGCGATTAACGTATAAGAAAAATTTCAGCGTAGTAAAAGATCTACATAAAGCTAATTACATCTTACGAAGCGTCATCATCATAAGGTCGTCAGTCCTAAGACTGGTTGGACACGCACATCCATTCTTTCCTATCCTGAGCTAATTTTCGCATTTCCCTGAAAGTAGAACATTCCACATCCTTAACTATTTGTGTTCCACATTCGACCCTCCGACTCGTGAAATATTTCACCTACCCCTATTGCACTTATTGGTGACATCCCCTAAGTAATGGAGAACTAGTTTACGTCCATAGTGCTTTACCCCAAAGTACGCCATCATTTGAGTTTGGTGTGTTTTTCTTGGGATATCATAATGTGGTGGTTTCCAGTTGCCTTCCACATCGCAATATTGTACATCAGAGTATCGTACCGATCCTCGTGATCTCTGCCACCCTCGGTATTGAAAGAGCTGCTGCCCTTTTTCAGGGACTTTTGTTAGTCTGGTTTATCTTTAAGAACCCCCCATTATGGCTGAACCTATGGTCTGGTTTCCTAAATCATTGAAACTCGCAAGCTGATCCAACCACTCTAGTTACCTTTTACTTTTTTGCAGGTGGTTGTAAGTCATCTTACCAAAATAAGTCTCTAAATAAGTCTCTAAAAATTTCGTACCACTCAATTACTGAAAACAGCCTTTGCAAATGCGAAGGAGGTACTATAGACGTGTATGTTTACTTCGCTCCAATGTTGATTATTGTGAAAATTCAAGATTCCGTCCTGTGTGAAGCAAGTTTATCTGTATTTTCCCTATGGAAAAAATTAGGCTTAAGCACTTTTCTTTTGAGATCACCGGCACAAAACCACTCGCGGCATCGCGTCTAAAAATCAGTTTCAAACAAGACTTGCTGCAAATGATAAGGATGCAGCAACGGTTCCTTTAAAATTTGCTACATTGTCACATAAGAGGAGTCAATTGTCTCGTAGAAGATTTAAACGTTAAAAAAATAAACGGTTACAGGAGGTTGACTGTTACATAAACATCCTGAATCACACTGAATCTAACCAAAAAAATAAACAATACATGAGCAAAAAATATAAATCAAATACTACACTGATGCTGGGTAATCACTAATTGATTGAATGTAGCGTTGCGGGTCGTATTTCTCTACCTAGTCCGTAATTGAATTTACCTATATTTTCAACTACATTTTTCTTCAATTTTAATGTTGTTGCAAGTTCACCACTTATTTTTGTTACACCCTGTATTGAGATTTAATGAAAATACCTATTTCGTTCATAATTTATATGGAGACAATATAAATCTTGTTATGAGAAGGTCAGTTACTTCTTCTATCTCTTCTGTTAATAGCTATTATCAAATATGTATACATAGCTTACACATTAAGATACCCATATGAATACTGAGGCGTGTAACGCAGGTCTTGTGGACATTTGTATTTTATAGCCAGCAGTTAACAGAATTCCACTCATTCTTTATTACTATTCTTTATTTTTTCTGTATAACTGATACAACTACCCACACCATCTACAACAACTACATTTTTATTACATACTATTTATGTTAATTTAAAGAAAAATGTTGGTTTCTCATTAATATATGTATTGTATATACATATTACGTTTTGGGAGCTGACCACTTCGGTCATGACGTTTGGTTGTTAAAATTCTAACTATGATAAAGGTGAATTTCGTGCTATCAACGCTTTATATTCGTAAAATTAAATAAAACCAGATGATTGTTATTCAATTATAATAGAAACTGCCAGTTCGCCTACTTGTATTAATTCGGCAAGTAATTTTATTTGTGCTATTAGGGGTTGAAAACTTGAATCTTTTTTGCATACTTTCCCGAGGTGTGGTAACAAGGTGTTTGGTAACTAGACAGCCAAAAGGAAATGTCATATCAAAAATAGAATTCTGATCATAAATTAAAGATTACTTTTTTTTCTGATAGAGCTTCAAATAGGAAAAATTCAGTTTTTCTTTTTAGTATGATACTGCGGTAAAAAAAGTAAATACGTTTTAATAAAAGATATTATTCCGTTGAAACTATAATTGATGCACGTCTAGCAAATTAAAACTCTGAATTGTTAACTTGCGCAAAATTTACACTGTTTTACCCTACCTGACTACACTTCTAGCGATGTAAACTGCAATTCTCTCGCGTAGCCTATATTTATATTGCATTTTCTATATTACAAGTGAGTTCAATGCACTATTACCATTAGTTTTGGATTGATTCGTATGGATTAGGTCGATGACGTAAATGCAATCTTTCAATAGTTTTACAATATTACACATTTTCTTATTTAAGTTAGCGGAAAAGTGTTTTTCGAAATTTCAAAATTCAAAAGAAATTATTATGCTTAAATTATATAAATGATATAAATATATTATAATCATATAGTACAATATGGATTTATATCAAGTACCACATTATTTCGCAAATATTCAAGCCTAAATTGAGTGCAGTAAAAAAATAATTTATTTTTCTTTGATACCTTCATTTTTGGATCATATGAGTAAAGTTGCACTTAGTTAGAACTTGTGAAATGTGATTTTTAATTGACCATGAAATAGTAACAACTAAATGAGAAACATTATTTATTGAATTAAATTAAAATTAAATCAGTATGAAATGTCCTAAAAAAAGATTTTGGAATGTAATTTTTTTACTGAATTATTTACAATGCTTTCGATGTTATTTTAGCATTATTGGGTCATAAAAAGTCCTCTTAATTTTTTAATCTCATTAGGAATAAGTAATAAAGAAGCTATTGTTCATTGTATAATGACAACGCTTCTTTTTTTTTATAGTCAATGATTCACATCAAAGAGAGAAAAGATATGGAAGATGCATTTAAGAAAGCACAAAAACCTTGGTCCAAGTTATTGCAAAAAGTGGACAAAGCGAAAAGTGACTATCACACCGCCTGCAAGACTGAAAGATCGGCAGCTAATCAAGAAAGGAACGCTAATGGTGATCCTTCTGTATCGGCAGATCAGGTACTTTTAAGTATAATTTTTTTTTTCACTAATTTTTACATTTGATTATAACTTATAACATTTTTATTCGAATAATCTTTTTCATATATTTTAAATTCTATTTCAAAAATTTTGGTTAAAAAAAGTTCCTCCTTCTATTTCTATACAATTTTTGTCTTACTTATTTAATGATAAATATGGTTTTTATTAAACAGCCCACATTTATTCACAGTCCTAGAAGGGGCGAAATAAGGGGACAATGGCAGGCCCGCGTTTTTGAGGGCTGCGAAAAATTCAGAACTTAAAATTATTTTTTATTTTCTTATCATCAAAATATAAAAAAATATGTACTGTAGAACCTTGATAACTTAAACCTCGCTAACGTAATAACCTCTACAAATTCATAAAATTTTGTGTTCCCTTCCACTCGGAGTCCAAAACCTCTATTACTTAAAATGAAAACCTTCTTTAACTTAAACGAATGATTTGAGCATCGCATCTCAATAAGCAGTGAAAAGTGGTTTGAATCGGGAGAAAGTCTTCTATGTAAGACGAAGAATTGCTGAATTTCCTGATATAGAAAAATGCTTGTTTACATGGTTTAGACAGTGTAGAAATATGTAAAAACATTAGTATTAGTTGACCTATACTAAAGGAAAAAGCTGAAGAGTTTGCTAAGTCACTGGAAATCCATAATTTCAAAGCTTAAACTTAAACCCTTAGTAAGTAAAAACCTCAATAACTCAAATTATTTTACGTTTCCCTTGGTCTTTACCTTATCGAGGTTCTACTGTATAAAAAAAAAACATTTTGGGTGTGAAATATTCTTCTGGGTTTCTTTCTATTTAATACGAATTGATCAAACAAAGAATAATTAAGTATAATAAGCTTATTCTTAAATGAATATCTATGTATTTACTATACAAAGAACAATAACCATAAAAAAATTCAATTGAATAATCGCCAAATACGAAGGTTTTAGTAATTATACGTGAATGATATTTTGCAAAATCTACTTTTTTAAACATGTAGACAATAATCTGAAGATATTACCTTGGGCGTTTTAGTTTCCTAAAAGTTTTGTAGAATTTTGGGGTTTTATGGGTTTACTTAATTACGTTACACAGCACTCAATTATATTTTGGGTAATAAAGTAGCTAACAAAATTTTAATAATTGTGTTGGTTTTAATTTTGGTCGATTGTACATAAATAGTTGTTGGATGATTTATAAACGATTTAATCATCGCCAATTTTTTCCATTGCAAACATAGAAAGCTGTTACGGTAAGAATATACATATATTTATTACAAATTCCACTCTTAATTCGTAATGAGTTTTTCTTTCTTATTTATAGTATTTACCTATCATAGTTTTACGATGTACTGTATATGTGTTTGTGTGCTCATAATATTTTTCTACTTTTTAACTGAATGAATAGTAAAAAGTTTCTAGTAAACGAATACGGCATTTTTACTTTATTAATTTAAAATTCCCAAATTAATAACAGGTTTTTTTTTTAATTTTTTTAATATTCATTTAAGCAAGCATTTAGCATTTTTGTAATAAACTAGCGAATGCGTACTGTAGCATAAAATTTCTTGATTAATAAAGCATGGATCACGCATTTCGACTTCGTCAGAAGTTTTACATGAAAATTTCTTTAATAGGTAAAGAAATTGCAAGATAGAGTTCAAAAGTTAAAGGAGGAAGTTCAGAAAACCAAAGAGAAATATGAATTAGCTTTACAAGAAATAAATAATTATAATCCGAAATATATGGAGGATATGACTGTAGTTTTTGACAAGTGCCAAGATATGGAAACGGAGAGGTTGAAGTTTATCAAATTAACCCTTTTCGATATTCACAAACACCTTAATATTTCACAAGATCCAACGTAAGTTTCTTTAAAAATTAAACTGATATTTTGTGCATAAATTACAATAAACATTAACTAACGCTAAAAAAAATGATGTAATGTTATTATATATAAATAATCCCTGTGCCTTTTAAAATCTTATTTTACTTCTTCAGGTTGCCACAAATTTACGAGGAACTTTATCATACAATAAACAACGCCGATTACGAAAAGGATTTGAAATGGTGGTCTAATAATTATGGAGTTAATATGGCAATGAACTGGCCTCAATTTGAAGTAAGTTGTTTTTTTTTTTTTTGAGAAAAAAGCAGTGTCCATGTAACGGCCTACAAGCATGCGTTGTTGTTATAGCGAATAGCTGTTGGTGTTCAATAATAATAATCAATTTGTTCGAATAGCGTAGCGTTTTAGCGAAATTCTTAAATGCATGGTTTGTTTGTTTATCAGGATTATACCGAAGAGTTCAGAGATATTTCGAAAGGCAAATCTAAGGAGTCTGTACCGAGTGGAATTATGCTTATTAATCAGAGGCCTGTCGGGGAGGATTTGCATGTATGCTTTAATTTTTATTTTACTCTGTTTAATTTCTTTTTTATACGTACATATCATTTGGTCAATAAATTACGAGATATGTACTGACAAAAGACAAGTAATGAATATTGCCGGATCTGTTTCTTTTCCCTTAAACATTTTATAGTTTTTTTGGTGGTTTTATTAGATGATGTGATCGCCAATCGGCGAGAGGGGAGAGAGGAGGGTACTGGGGATGACCTTGTAGAATGCTCAACAAATGTTTGTAGAAGAAGCTAGCGTAACCCAACCCAACCCAACACTAACCAAATGTAATCTAATACAGTAAGAAAACTTTTGCAGTGATTTTTGTTTTTTATGGGACTGCAAACAAAAATTACTCCCAAATTTTTTTACTATATTGGATTAGATTGGGTTAGAGTTAAATTTCGTTAGGCTATTTTTCAAATTTTCGATTTTACACCTGTAATGGGTACTTCCAAATCTTCGCCCCTAACTAAAAACACTATTCTTCTACAAGGTTATGCCAAGCCCCCCTCTAACCCTGCCCTGGTCCTAACCACTATCCAATCTCTGACCAACGGTTTCATTATTTAGTCATTTTATTTTCATTATATTTGACAAAATTGCAATGTTTCCTCAAACTAAACAAAGTTTATTTTACGATTTTCTTTAGGAAAAAATCACTATGAAGTCTTAATCACTAAATAATACAGTAAACATAGAACTTGCATAGAAATGATATGTCTCTTAAAACTTAATTAATGTATTGTATTTAATTTTAATAGAATTTTGCTTTTTAATTTGAGTGGCATCTAAATTATTATGACTTTGACATTAACTAGTACGTAAGTAGTTAGAAATGTGTATTTGATTTAGAAATATCCCTATCTTAGTTATAGAAACGGAATGCTTTTTTATTAACGATTAATAAGATTTGAATTTGTTAATTTCTGTAGGACTACAATTCAACCACAAGCTCCTCAAAACCGTCGTCAGTTAAAACAAAAACTACAGTCGTTCAAAATAATACAACGACCACTCATCAAGAAAAAACTGTCACCACAAAAACCCCTGAAAAAACCGAAAACGATTCCAACAGGGCTTCAACTATAACGTGAGTTAATTTTCTAAAATTAAAGCAATTCGTAATGTTAATTTGAAAATATTGTCTTACAGGAATGGAACGCCTAGCAAAAATGAACCCAATCCATTTGAAGAAGAAGAATGGGATGATAGTGACGCGTTGGTAGACAATGGAGAACCTGGTATTCCTGTGAAGGCTTTATATGATTATGAAGGTGCAGAAAATGATGAACTCAGCTTCAAAACTGGTATGATTTTATTAGTTACTTAATAGAATATTTCTTGATAATGCAATGCGAAATTATATCCCAAAGAATTTCTCATAGGATGCAAAAACGTTTTTCGATCTGGATGAAATTTTATTTGGTACAGATGGAGAAGCAAAAAATATTGGTTAAAAAAATAATTGTTATCTCAAAGAGTATAAAATTTGCAGCATGTACTATTGTGTTTGGCATCGAAAGAATTTTCAATTAAAAGTTATGCCATGTCATTTTGTTTATCAACATAATGCTACTGTAAAACATCCTACAATTTTATATACAAATTTTTGTGATTTAGCATTCTCTAAGCAATGATAAATCACTATGGGTAACTTAACAGTTGATTTTTTCATAATCAAATTTGAATCCAATGACAAATTCTATTTCATTTACTTTATTGTGGTTTTTCAAATGTGTGTGTTTTTGTACACATTACTTTTATTATTATAATCTAATTAAAAATGCAATAATCATTTGGTTGTATGCCTTTGGTGTCTATCTCACAATTAATTATGTTATTTTTACTTCTTAATTGTTTTACTTTTAAATGAATATTTTAAAAATNTGAAAACTAACTGATAACTTCTTCTGAGTAAGGTAAGAATTATTTAATTAGGTTCTAGGTTACATCATAAATTTCATTCGTTATGGAATAAAAAAGAAGCTAATATATAGATATGTATAATAAATATACACATACCTAATTATTAATTAATTAATTTAATTTTAAATGAACGTCTTATTGTTTTTATATACTGATTTTTCCAAATGCTATATTGTATTTTTACTTTTGCGTTGTAGGTGACATTTTTGAAAAACTAGAAGATGAGGATGAGCAAGGATGGTGCAAAGGACGTAAAGACGGCAGGGTTGGATTGTACCCAGCGAACTACGTCGAAGTCGTATCCCAGTGATAAGAGCGTCAACTGTTGGTTTTTTTGTTGAAGTTTTTCAAAAGTATATATACGTTTTACGGAGCTGTTGCTCAATTATTTATGTTAAAAAAAAGGAAAATGCGAGAAGATATTTTACAAAGATGTACATTAGGTATTATAAAGTATTGTATTATTTTTTATAGAGTAAAGAAAAGAAAATATTAACAGTTCATTTAAAGTGGACGTGGTGTAGAAGTACTTCGAGTCACATGTCGAGACTGCAAAACGCAGTGTAAATTATATATATGTAGTCTTGATATAAATTAATTGTACATAAAAGGCAAGCATAATCGCAACACTTCCAGGATTATCATGTATTAATAGTACAATTACTACTATTGTTTAAATAAGCAATAAACAAGTATCTACTACGTAGTTGTGTGTTCCTGTTTACCTTAAATGATTTATTTGGACCTAATTTGATTTGATTTATAATTTTTACTTGTCGAAATGCTAGGTGTTATTAAGTACTCTTATTATTCAAGCAATAATTCAGGAAAAGTAATTAGATATATTTTATGGAAAAAATAAACTAGGGAAAAGTTGCAATAGTTCTTATTTTTAATTAAAATTAAATCTTTTATCGCATATTCTCAAGTAATTTATCAATTTTTTTTTCGCGGATTTTTAAACAACGAACTGTGTAACTCGAGTAAAACACACTTAGAATGTTACTACATAAATACCAAATTTTAACTGATTTATTGGTCAACTTCCTGTGAAACATTTTTTAAACACACATAAACAAAGAAAAATGCTTTTTAATGTCTTAAAAAGAGTAATATTAACCTACAATAATTGTAAATACTTATTGTTTCAACTTGTCAGGTCTTTATCAAGAATGAATCAGAATCAAACTGAAACACTAAAAAGCGGTTTTATTTGTTTAAAAACCATAATATCGGGGATTTATAGCAATGGTACAACAGTAACAGCTAAATATGAATTTTTGAGGTCAATGGGCATTTATTTCATGGTATATGGTCTACCATAATTAATATGCTATTTACATTATAGATATTCACTCTATCCAGTGCCCACTATTTATACATACTTTTCTCCATAACAAATATAGTCAATTCTGACAAAAAAAACTATATGTTTACAGGTTGTTTGCTTTTGTAATATTTGGTAGTTCACTGGTCTTTATTTCAAAAAATTTTTTAAATTAATTTAATGCAAAGAAAGGAAAGGATTTAAATGCAACAAATTGTAGGTTTTTAAGAGTTTAATCAAACTTGTATTTCTATATGCTAAGGGTCAATTAATATTTTAATTATATACACATTAATATAAAAAAAATTATTCGGTTTAAAATATCCTTACAATGCATGCATCTTTAAATACTATATACAGATGTTACAACACAAAATTATTAAAATACCTACTAATTATCACATACAATAAAAATATTGTGATTTATTTCATTTAATATCTATATTTAGTAGAATAATCTTTAGGAGAAACCACAAGACCTCTGCCTTTTCTAGCACCTCTATAAACAGTTTCAATAATATCGATCATTTCTTGTTTATCCTCTAATGGCCAATTAATTTTATTGTTATTACCAGTACCCAAGTCAATCATTATATGCTTGTTTCGGAAGAAGAACATTACAGTGCATGGGTCATAAAGTTCATACATTTTATTAAAGTCTGGAACTTCTGTAATATCCACAAGGTATATAACAGCGAAGTTTTTTACTTTTTCTGCTATATTGTACAGTACTTCATCCATTCTCATACATTGTGGATCCCAATCATGACCAAATCGTATGACCTATTGAAACAACTATTTATTTTAAGAGGCTTATGTCTAACAATTTCACTTACAACAACACGATCTTCTTCAGATAATATTGCTTGATCCACTTGCCATCCATTGTGCAGATGAGTTAACATATACGACATTTTAATGTTTTTGTTATCTTCTATAAAATTTATTCGCAAAAATGAATTTCTGGCATTCAAAAATTTGCACAAAACTTTTAAAACAGCAATGATTATCGGTTTATTATGGATCTCTATAAATTACTTGTCTAGGTTAAATGTGATATAATTTGATCTATGGATACAATAATCATCATATAATCATAGAATAAAGAAATACACATAGATAATATATCATAATAATATTGCCATAGAATATTACGAGATTGGCAAAATGTCTTGAAAGAGTCACCACGTCCCCATTTTAAAATTAATTCATGTGTTATTTATTTGATGCCAGTATTTAATTCTTATTTTGTTCATTTGTAGATAACCACAGGGTAATTCTTTACATTAGTTGACATTGGAATTGAGACATGAAGTTTAGTCAGGTAGGTAGTACTCACCAAGTCAAGTAGTGTAGTAGTATTTACTAGAATTTTGTTTATTATTTGTTTAAAAATGAATGTGAGTGAGATACAGGCCCTTAAAGTTTTCTTAATCGGAGGAAATACCGGTAGGTACGGCCCTGGCTTCAGCCTTCCGTCAGCTGTTCCCGCCAAACATCGTTTGTCCTAAAACATATCTTCCTAACATTATTCTAATGTATCAGCCCGCCTTCGGCGGGCAGGGGCATTAAACAAACTCGAGTCTGTCATACATCTACCTAACTAAACAATGACGTCATCAATGCATATTTGGCGAGAACAGCTGACGAAGGGCTGCAGCCAGGGCCGTACCAATCGAAATTTCCTCCGATTAAATAACTTTAGGAGCCTGTATCTCAAGCTACATTGGTTTCCGCACGGAATTAATGCTACCACACGATTCTACTTGGTCAGTACTACCTACCTGACTAAACTTCATGTCTCAATTCCAATGTCAACTAATGTAAAGAATTACCAACCACAGTTCAACCAATGGATGAGGAAGAAAGAGAACACTGAAATTAATTTGGATACTTGCTACTGAAAAAAACCGAATCGTCTACTATGGTACTGTTTGCTGTTGACTTTCCACCTTTGACGATTTTACAGTCGGTTGAGGTGAGAATAACATGCACGTTTTATATTAGAGAGGCGAAATAAACTATATTTCAATATCTTATCGTATTTCAATTTTATAGGAACACTGTGGATGTCGTGTTTCAGTCTTATTATACTTGATACTCCAGTACATGCTAATACCTAAAGGAAGCAAAAAGATGCCTTTTTTCGACTGAAAACAAAGGCAGCATGTTATAATTAGAAAAAAGGATTTATGACGCTTGATTGATTAGTAACAACATTATGTTAAAAGCAATATGTGTGAAGTTTTGACCTATCTCTTGGACATTTCTAATCTACATTTTTAGTAGAGTCAACTTTTACATGTCAGCTTTGTTATCCTTAATACAAACTATGCATAAATTTTGACTCTAATTTTGAATACTGTGCCTAATTTGTTTTTCTTGCTCATTTTTACAGATTGGACAACAAATTAGAGAGGCTGATCATATTGAAACAATCAATGTCTACACTTTACTAGACTGTATTGATTTGCTGTTTTTGTCCTCACATTGAAACATTATTCAGTTAATTTTCAAAACATTAGCGAAAACAAGAGGAAATTTATCTAAATTCCACTGAATCAAGAAGTTATCTTCTATTGTATTCCTCCTGGATTTGGTTTGCTTTTCACACATAAAAACTTTGGAATGTTACAGTCTATTGTTCATTAAGGTGAGAATGTTTGATATAATTAAAATCAATTGCTCTTTATTAATCTGTTACCACCCTGTCTGTTTCAGATCAACAGTGGAGAAGACAGAAGATCCCGTAGTTAAAATACTTCTTTATTTTGCATGTTTTTTGTAGTGTATTTTATTTGAATTAATTTTTGTTTGTAGAGGTTATTATTATTTTTTTGTAGTAGTGTACTAACACATCTTTCTTAGTAGCAGTTAAATAGTAGTCTAACATGTCTCTTGCTTACCTTTTCGCTTAGCTTACTGCATATTCTTCCTAATTTGCTTCGCATTTACCCTACGTTTTCTATATGATTCAACGTTTCATTATTGTGTTTTATTCTCTTCTCAGCCTTGTGGAACTTGGCCTTAGCTTTTTAGTTGATCTTAAAAGTGTTTATACACTTTTCGCGAGTCTACTCAAGCGTTACTTCCTTTCAGACAGGGTACAGTGAGTTATCTGGAATAGGAGCAATAGGCGACTGCCCAGCTTGCCTTGGCAAAATCTGTCCGATCTTTTCTACCAAAGCTATTAGTATTTGTCGTTAGTCCTGTTAATTGCACTATTTGCTTTCAGATAATGAGAAGAATGAAGACATCTTATTTTTGGCTTATTATTGTATTTTCTTTGAAATTTCATTTAACTTTGTCTTTCTTTTACAGGTATTTTGTATGTTTTGTCTTTCTTGCAGGTACGTTGCCTATTTTCTTGTATTTCTTTTGCAGTTATTTTGTTTCTTACTTTGTACACTGTTGAATTACCTAATATAATTGTAGCTTAAATAGATTTTTCTAAATTATTGTTTAGAACATTTTCATAAGTAATATTCATTTGGGCGGATAGGGTGGCTATAAAGGGAGATGTGGAGGCCACAGAGGGTTAGGAGGCAATTTTTGCTCCAAATATTAGTAATGCAACAGTTTGTGAATTCGTAACTAGTAAATAAACATTTATTATTTCTTGGAAATTTTGTATATATTATGTGTTATGCAGTTATGTAAAATAAATTGTCTTATAATAAATGTAAGACATTTGTCTAAAGAATAAATGTATTATCATTATTTTGATGTTTAAACATCAAAATAATGATAATACAATGATAATACATTTATTATTTAGA